CCCATACTATAGGAGCTTGTTGCCCTGCTGCATTTGGCCCTTCCGATTTTGTTTTGTAGTACTCCTTTCATGTTGGTGGTGTCAAAATTTGCTTTACAGGTGATAGCATATGTTTGGGAATTTTCTCCCAGCTTTGTCAACATTACACCGCTTGAAAACTGGAAATATTTGAGAGTGCTTCCATCTGGTAATGTATCTGGACATATTTCTGAATCTGTGGAGATTGTAAGCCAGTGATGGGTGTTTCCTTTTCGTTGTGGTCAGTGCATCTTACGCAGATGCACGAGAACGTTCCCGTTTTCTGCAGATTAACTCTTGAACATGATGTTTCTGTTCTAAACAAAGTACTACTACTATCTGCTACAGTAAACATGCCAGGTTCATTTTGGCACGTCAGCTTTGACAGATAAACCTTGCATGGGCCTCAACCATAACCCATGTCAGTGTAAGGTAGGCCTGGATTGCGGCCCATCTCAGTTAATCAGTAACAATTGGTCCCTACGGGCCCAGTGTATGATACTGTTCAGGCCCACGACTGAATGGGCCGGGTTAACGGCCCAGAGTTCAGGCCTTTACCCCTGCAATGCAAATTCTTCACAGTTCACTCCCCGTCCACACTAGGGTTCCACCGTTCCACACTCGCCCCGTTGCATCCACCATTGGTGAGTTCCTGTCGCCTCTTGCCTGCCGCCTGTTCGACGAAATGCCTCTAGGGGAAGCCTCACATCTGATCGACCGCCGCGGCGTCGATAGGATAGGGGATCTGCCCGACAGTGTCCTCCACCGCATCCTTGGTTTCCTCCCGGCGCCGGATTGCATGCGCACTTGCGTGCACCTGCGATCCCTCCTAAGCCGCCAGTGCCAGTAACAACCTTACGGTTTCAATCCTTGCCACCGGAGCAAATACTTCCTCAAAATCAATGCCATGTTGTTGCATGTAACCCTTAGCTACCAATCTGGCCTTGTACTTCACCATAGCCATCATGATCACGCTTGATCTTGTACACCCATTTCAGACCTATTGGTCGATGTCCAGTAGGCGGTGGAACTAGACTCCAAGTCTTGTTTTCCTCAATGCTCTTCACCTCATCAATCATAGCCTTGTGCCAGCAGGCCTGTACTTCAGCCTCCGTGAAGCTTGCTGGCTCATCAGCCGCCAAAAGGCACAACCCAGAGTACTGAAACTCCCGTACTGGGCTAGTAGTGTTGCTGATGTTTGCAAGCGTGTAATTGCGTCACGGTGCCTCGTCAGATGGTTGCAATGCGTCCGTCGGCGGAATTGCAAACTCCACCTCAGCTTTTGTCTGCGTGGTGTTGATTGGCATCAAGAGGGATGCTGGTGAGTGCACACCCGGCAATGAGTCCCACACTAGGGTAACAGCATCCTGTGGCTCGTATGCGGCGGGGCGTGCCCAGAGCACTGTACATCATCTGAAACAGAGTGAAAAGTGTACAAGACAGAGAAGATTTCACCAGGATTAGCTTCATCGTCTCCAGTCACGGTTGCCGCCCAGTCCCACTTCGCCTCTTCGTCCCAGGATTAGCTTCATCGTCTCCAGTCACGGCTGCCGCCCAGTCCCACTTCGCCTCTTCGTTGAACACCACGTCTCTGCTCACATGAACATGGTTCGCCTCCGGGTCGAACACCCTATACGCCTTGCTTCCGTCCTCATAACCAAGGAACACCATCGCCTCGCTTCTGTCCAGCTTCGACAAGTGTGGTATCACATTCTTCACATACGCCACACAGCCAAAGGTGCGAAAGTAATGCACATTCAGGCGCTGGCCGTACCAAGCTTCATAGGGCGTCTGGCCGTCGAGCGCCCTCGTCATTGCCCAGTTCAGGATATGCATCGCAGTGACAACGGCCTCACCCTGAAACCTCCCGGGCATTTCCATTGCCTTCAACAGGCTTCACGGCATTGATACGATCATCTGATTTCACCGTTCAATGATGCCATTATGCTGCGGTGTGCAGGGCATGGTGAGGTGCCGCCTCACGCCACGTCCTGCACAGTATTCACCAAATTCTATCGAGGTGAATTCACACCCCCCCTCCCTAGGTCTGTACGGAGAATCTTCATCTTCCTCCTAGCCTCGAGCTCAACTTTCCCTTAGAACTCCCTGATTGTCGTCGGTGCCTAATCTTTGGTTGCTAGCAGTACCACCCACATGTATCGAGACATATCATCGACTAGCAATAGAAAATGGCATTTACCTCCCGACGTGGCTGGGCTAATCGGTCCACAGAGATCACCATGGACAAGCTCTAGCAACTCCATTGCTCGGTATTTCGCCTCCGACAGGAATGGTGCATGCAGCTGCTTCGCTCTTTGACAACAATCGCAGATGTGATCCACCTGTTCGATGTCAGGCAGACCGCACACCATGGCGCCCTGAGCCAGCCGACATAGGGAGCCAAAATTCAAATGCCCGCAGCGCGCATGCGACAACCACGGCACCTCGGCGCAGCTCGCCACCAAACACATGGGCCGCACCACCTTCAAATCCAGCAGGTACGAGCGCCCTTTGTTCCTCGACACCCTCGCCACCAGAGCACTCGCCCTGTCCCTGATCATCATCACCCCATCTTCAATGTGGATTGCACAGCCGTTCTCATCAAGCTAGCTAAGACTGATCAAGTTGCTCTTGAGTCTGGGATGTAATACACCATGGACACGGTACGGTGTGCCCCGTTGTTGCATTCCAGCGTTACGTCGCCAAAACCGCAGACGTCGATGATGGAGCCGTTGCCGAAGCGCACAACGCCGCGCACCGTGTCGTCGTGGTCAGTGAAAAACTCTTCGCGGACAGACATGTGGTTGCTTGTGCCGGTGTCAAGGTACCAGAGATCCGGAGATAGTTCTTCTCGGCGCCCAAAATGAAGTTGAGCTAGCATGGCGGGCTCGTCCAGCACAATTGTCCTCGTGCGGCCACGGTGACCAGCACACTCACGGTCGCTAGCAGCAGTACAGGCTCCTCCTGAGCCTCAGCGACGTGTGCCTCCTAGCGTCGCTCCCGCCGCGGTTTGTGGCACTCCGTGGTGTAGTGATCATAATTGTCACAATTGAAACAACATACCATCGACTTGTCACGCGGTGCCGTCAGCGCGCCACCTTCTTTGGCTGATGCATCCTCACCTGAGCGCCCCTAGCCACCATGCTTCCCGCGCATGCTTTCTTCAGGCTGGACGAGGAGCCAGTCCCTTTCATGTGTCCTACTGCTCCTTCTTCTTCATTCGAGTGGACCACTCCTCTTCTGTGAGTAGAACTAGGTCGCCCAGCGCCTCGCCAGACGCACCAACAGATTTATAGGATTCGATGGCAGCATGGCACCAACCAGCTCCTCCAGCGGCATGGTCTTGAGATCAAGCATCGGTTCAATCGACAAGGCAAGCTGATGATAGTGGAATGGCACCACTCGCAACAGCTTCTTCAACATGTGATCGTCGGTAAGGGCGCCACCCATGTCACGGATGTCGATGACGTGTGCGTGCAGACTAAGGGCGAAATCCTCCGCGTCTCGCCGTCCTTGAACTGGATGGCCTCGTACTGAGACTGCAATGCCTGCTCGCGCACTTCTCAAACATGATCCACACCGACGCTCATCGTCTTGATCGCGTCCCATACTTCCTTGGCATTGTCCTTCTTTGATAGGGGGCACAACATTTCCTTGGGAACGGCTTGGAGAAGGGCCGCCATTGTTTGCCGGTCCTTCCTGAACTTGGCATACCCCGGGTCGATGGCAGCTCACAGGCCTTGTGCCTGCAAAATTCACCCGCATCAGTAGCGCCCAATCTGCATAGTTTGTTCTCGTGAGGGTAGGGTAGCATAGTGGCACGCCAGCCTCCCGTGGCACCGGCTGCATAACGATCTACCCTTCACCCTCATTGCCACTTCCGCCTCCAATCTTCCACGCCGCCGCAGTGGGGTGTTTCGACTATGATCGTCGGTCGACATAGCCTCAGAATCAATGATGAACCGCTCGGATACCACTTGTTGTAATTTGATTTGGTTTGGCTAACCTAACACTCAAAATTCTCATGCGCAGCCTCACTTTGTTTTCTGACACTTATAGGTTTCACAACAGTAAACTGGAGAACTGAAGAATAACAGAGATAGAGTATTTGGCGCTGCGTAAAACTTGCAGCATTTTCTCGGTTCCTTCTATTATAATACTCCATACTCCAGGATTTTGTTACAATTGAAAAAGATCCACAAAACCCGCCCAGATCCTACTGAATTGCGTCATCCCACGATTGACCTGAGCGATCTTGCAGCTATGACTTAATTGATGCAAGAACTGAAAATACAGTTAGATACTCCTTCTACGATCCGAACTCCTCGTGAACACAACACAAGTCAAGCCTTATTTTTTTATGAAAAATGGAAATTAGATTATACCAGCTACAAGATTACATGCATCAGTGTCGTGCTGAGCGCTGCGATCATAGGCGACTCCCCACAACACAAGGGATCAAAATACTCTACAGTCGAAGCCCACATGTCAGTGATAAAGACACCGTACATTTGACTGCAGAGGATCTCAATCCCAATATGAGAGGGCTGCAGCCGCCTTGCCCCTCTCCCACCGGCCCGCATCCCCTTCCCACTCCTCGGTGACGCTGCAACCACCTTTCTCCTCTCCCGCCGGCCGCCGCTCCTCCCTGCCGCTCGGTGACACTCCCATCTCTTGCGTGATGGATGAAGAGAAAAGGAAAGAGAGAGACTGAGAGGAAGGAGAGAGAAGATGGGAGAAAAGTAAGGATGACATGACATGTAGGACCCATTTTTGTTTTTGCCATGTAAGCACCTAGTCGACCTACTCGATACGAGCGGACCGGGTCAACTTGCCACATCAGTGAATCCAGACATCTACACTGCTGCTGGAGGAGCAAATTTAATCTGGCTTTGCAACTTGGAGGTCTAAGATTTTCTGGTATTTCGGTTTAGTGCGGATTTTAAAACTTGACGGGATGAGGGACCTAAAGTGAACTTATTCCCCGTACTTTACGTCTCACTCGAGTTTATTCTTCCATGCTCCACAGCTCCAGCCAGCTGCGGGGGTCGATGGTGCTTCACTCCCCAATCCCCACAGCAGTAGGGTTTGGAGAACTTGGCGTCGATCGACTCTCCTCCTCCGGTGCGGCGGCCGAGGCTGCCGACTGCGAGTCTGCGAGGCCTCCATCTCTTCTTGCTCGCATCCTCCATTGTGAGTTCCAAGCTATTTGCTGCTCGCGCTGCAGCCTCGACGCACGCCGCCTGTTCGACGGAATGCCTCCGGGGGAAGCCCCACCTCCGACCGGCGGCGATAGGATAGGGGGTCTGCCGGATGGTGTCCTCCAACACATCCTCGGCTTCCTCCCGCCGCATGAGGCCGTGCGGACCTGCGTGCTCGCGCGGCGCTGGCGCCACCTCTGGAAGTCCGTCGCGGCCTTGCGCATCACCAACTGGGACTGGAGGAAGGTGGTGCCCATGGAGGAGTTCCGGTATTTCGTGCACCACCTCCTGCTCCGCCGCGGGCGCGCTCCTATCGACGAATTCGAGCTCGATCTCGCCGAGCTGTCCGACCGGGACACCCTCCGCGTGAACCGCTGGTTCCGGCATGCAGTGATGTGCCAGGCCCGGGTGCTACGGCTGGATATCCGTGTGAGCAGGGGATCCGAGCTCGAGCTAGAAAACCTGCCTGTCGTCTCCCGGCACTTGCAAAAGCTAGATCTTTATGGTGTCAAATTGATGCACAATTTCCTTGATTTCTCGAGCTGTCCGGTGCTGCAACATCTAGAGATTGCTGGTTGCGACTTGTCTGATTCCAATGCCAGGAAGATCTCTTCCCTATCCATAAAACACCTAAACATCTCCGGTTGCAATTTCAGCGATACTTTCCACACACACATTTATGCGCCGAATCTCCTCTCACTTGGTCTAGTTAATTATATGAACCAGTCTCCTGTGTTTGAGGGTATACCGTCCGGAAGCTTTATCACAGGCCAAGAAGTTGGTGTTGTTAGTTCAGGAACAAGATGTATGTTATGCACTTATGCCTTCTCATGCACTGCCTCCACATGTGCATTCTTAGACCACATGTTTACTGTGAGTATTGGTTAATCTTTTTCTGTTTGCTTTTTGTCCAGTTTAATTTCGAAATGTACTGGCAACGGTGCCCTACATTTAGCAAGTTGAAGACTTTGTTAATCAGTGCATGCGCATCTGCTGTTCTTGACTTTGAAGCTGTTAGTTGCATCCTTCGACACTCACCAGTTCTAGAGAATCTCACTCTTCAGTTTCATCGCATGGTGTGTGTTCTAAATGGAAAATCACTTCCTCGTTACAATTTTTACATAACACTGATTTATCTTGGTCAATTGTTTTATTTTTATTTTTGTTGCTGTTATTATTGCAGGGACATGGACCGGATAGGGTGGAAATGAAAGGAAGCTATAGTCGAATGGATAGGTCATCTGCAATATCAGAATATCTTAAGATAGTTGTAGTCAGATTTGATGAGATTGATGATTTAGTTATCAAAGTTTTGAAGTTCCTCTCTGCATTCAGTATTCGTAAGCTAACTAGCAACACTATTCATTCTTTCTATATTTCTGAAAATTGCCTTCAGCTTTCGTATGCATGAAAGAAAGCTAGTTGCATTCCTGATTTGATAGAAAATCAAGATATAGGAGTTCTATTGAAAAGCTATTGAAAATCCTGCACTGTATTTGGTGGGAGTGGGGAAATCATTCTATTCCATTATGTTGGCAGATGGTACGCCTAAAGCTATATGAGGTTTACTTATCATGAAGTGCATTTACATATTGATCTGTCAAATAGTTTAAAATATTTGACTTGTTCTGATAATTGGCTCGTTGATTATTAGTTTGAACAATAGAAGGATTGTCTGTCTTTCTGCTTTTAATATTTTTTTTTGTCCAATCTTTTTTGGTGGCTTACCTCATATACTCAGGCTAACTGCATTCACATGAATGGCCAGTGAAGTGCTTACCTTCATAGTAGTATGTTAGTTGATTTTGCATTTGGTCACCTCCTTGAGTTATCTTGTTTATATGTAGGAGTAATACACATGCACATTCATAGATATGCTGTTTTTTTTTTAAAAAAAAAAGCCTTTAAACCATTGGGTTATATGAAACAAATTGCTGAGCATGGGATTTCTGAAATTAACTCATTGTGTGGTATGCTCTAGTATTTAATTTTTTTTCAAGTAACTGAACATTGTAATTGCTGCAGATGATGCTCAAACTTTTAACTTACCCTGCATTTTCATTGACAGGTTTCAGTTTCGAGTAGCGTTTAAAAGTTTAGCTGTCCATGGATCTACTACTCTATCACCATTCAGAGGGTTGGTTCTTAATTTGCAGTGACTGACGAGGGTGCCGTGTTCTGTCTGTAGGTATCATGTCAGTTCCAGCCATAGCCCGTAGGGACGGTTTAGAACTGACGAAATGACCTAGTCAGAATTTGTAATTGCAGGGCCCTAAAAGGGATGTGGAAGTGTAGGTAATCTAGTTAGGCCTTATATACCACCCAACTATTCTATGCTATGTCTTTTGGACTCTAGTTTAACTCGGATTCATTCTCTCTGGGAAGATATGAATCTGCTACCTTGAGCATAGCTGGCTCTGTCAATATTGCTCCGCCTGAAATGTTTAATGAGGGGAGTAGTATGCACATTTGATACCCTCTATCCCAAAATATAAAAACCTATAGTACTATATGTGATATTCTTGTCCATATTCGAAGTTGTCTTGTCTTGGTTCTTATATTTTGGGACAAATGATGTAATGTATTTTGGCATGCTCGTCAATCTGTGGAGCCCATGTCGCTGTGCGAGATGTTTCTTTAGTTATGGATGAGAACGTGACCTGGAATTTTCTGCAGATTAAACCATGAAACATTTAATTTCTATCAACTTTCGGATTTTTTTTTGTATGTTTTTGGCCTGGCTCAGCTCAGGCCGTCTTCATTTCGGCAAGTCTACTTGCTGTGATGCTCCAAAATAATTTATGTGCATGGGTGTTGCTAGTCCGCGCGTGCGCGCCAGCAATGTTGCTGGCATGCGCGCTGGCTCCCCACGCTATTTTTTTTCCTTTTTTTGATGATTTTTTTTCGGTTTTTTCGGTTTTTTCTGATTATTTTTTAAATCTTTTTAGCACGAATATTTTTTCGAATGTTTTGAGTTGAAAGTTTTTACATCTTGACTTAAAAATTTCCAAATCTTAACTTAAAAATTTCCAAATCTGATTTGCAAGTATTCAAATCTCGAGTTGAAAGTTTTCAAATCTTGTTTGAAAGTTTTTCAAATTTGAGATGAAAGTTGAAAGTTTTTAAATCTTGAGTTGAAAGTTTTTAAATCTGGGTTGAAAGTTTTCGAATTTAAGTTGAAAGTTTTTCAAATTTGAGATTAAAGTTGAAAGTTTTCAAATCTTGAGTTGAAAGTTTTCAAATCTAAGTCGAAAGTTTTTTTAAAATTTTAGATGAAAGTTGAAAATTTTTAAATCTCGAATTGAAAGTTTTCAAATCTGAGTTGAAAGTTTTTAAAATTTAACTTCAAAGTTTAAATTTTAAGTCAAAAATTTTCAAATGTAACTTACAAATTCTCAACCTATTAGTAAAAAAAATCTCTCAAAAAGAAAAAAATCTTTCTTTAATTATATCATTATCCTTAACTAATATAGTTAGTTATGTTACTTAAAGAAAAAGCGTCACGAGAAAAAAAAATTATGATCGTACCAGCATCGACGGCCGCGTGGGCTGTGGGCCGGAAGTGCGCGCCCGGGGTGCGTACGCGCCAATTAGGAATCTCGTATGTGCATACGGGCCAGGCCATAAGTCATAAGTCAGTTCGCTTAGTTTGGATGCACATAATCATGGGCCGTGCCGCCCGTCTCTTCTCCCCGCGTCGGTCCCTTCTCTCCCGCCCGTCAGCCATGGCCGCGGGACCGGCGACCCCCTCCCTAATAGATTCGGCAATCGAGCTCATGGAGGGCGTCCTTCTCTCCACACCATGCAACCTATTTGCATCCTAGATCTGGATCGTGGTGGATTGGGTGCCACCTCGCTACACCACTCTGCCTCTTTGCCTCCTAGATCTGGATCGCGGTGGATTGGGTGCCACCTCGTCTACCTGAGCTTTGGATGCGTCGCCAGCCGGTAACCCCATAGCCGTTGTCGCCTTTCTCTGCCCCGTTTCTTCCCCGCTGAAAGAGGGTGAGATAGAGAGGATGGCGTCTTGGGGGAGAAGCCGAACTGGATGGAGTTGAGGGGACGATGAGCATGAAGAGGAAGGCGGAGAAATGGGACTCCCAGATTGCGGCCATGGAGGAGGTGGCGTGGCTGGACCATGATCTACCCTGCACCAGCTCCTCATGTTCACCCGCGGCTTCCGCAAGCTGCCATCTCGGTCGTTGCCACTGTTGTCGAGGTTAGCTGGTTGCTACCGTCGTGGTCGATAGCCCAAGCTCCCTCGTCACTGCCAAAGGGAAAAAGGGAGGAGAGAGACAGGAGAGAGAAGGATGAACAAGTGAGGGAGAGTGAGGATGACATATGTCGGTTCCACGAAATATTCCTAACTTTTTGGCTGACTTAGTGCTTTTGACCATGGTCAATGTGCTACGTCAAGTAATACCACTCTCAAAATGCCTATTTGGCCAACTCTCTATCTAATTTGGCAAGTCAAATTCGTTGTTTACTCCAATAGCCTCTTCATTCACCCTATCATGGTTAATGTGCCATGTGAGCCAATACTACTCTCCAACAGTCTCTCCAAATTTGACTCTAAATATTTATTTGGCTAACTCTCTATCTAATTTTGCAAGTTAAACTTATTGTTTACTCCAATAGCCTCTCCATTCACCCTCACTATTCTGAGTTTATGATAGTGGGACCCATATGTCAGCCTCTGTAACCCTTTCTTCTTCCTCATATTTCTCCCCTTTTTCTCCAAGCCCCTCTTTAGTCTCTTCGGCAGACGAAGATGGTGATAGTGACGATGGATCTGCTCCTCGCCAGCCTCGTCCTCCTCGACAGTGAAGCATCTAGGCCTCCGTTGTTAATTTTGGTAATTAATGACAAGTGCTAATTGTGGACTAACCGTTGCTATTGAGATATATTTTAAGTTAGGTCCACGTCATGTATGCACATGGATGACTATCGATGGATTAAAATTTGATGGCACGAAGCGAAGAAAAGAAAACGGTAAAACTAGTGTTTTAGTTTTAAAATTGATCGAGGTGAAGGGCGATCAAATTTGCTAGTTTATTTGTTAGTTTCGTCGTACTATCAAGGGGGTAATGACCTAGCAAAGAGATGATTAAATTGCCACATTAGGTCATTGTATTTTCACTGGTGCTCACATTTTCATCACACACACACAATCACTTATGTATTCACTGTCTCGGCCTGATCAGGGGCGGTCCGACCGGCCACATAGTAGCGGTCTGATCGGCCACAAGACGGTCAGACCGGCCTTTAATATGCTGAAATCAACCTTCTTTTGCCGATGTGCATTACTCATCGATAATTGCATCAGTTAGTGTCAGGTTGGGTCAATATTCTAGAAACTGAAAAACAAGGTTTTTTTTACTGAACTGATGCATAAAAAAAAAGCGGCAGCAGTGTACAGTATATGAGCATTTGTTATTTGCTACTTCCTCCATTTCACAATGTAAGTCATTCTAGCATTTCTCATATTTATATTGATGTTAATGAATCTAGATAGATATATATGTCTAGATTCATTAACATCAATATGAATGTGGGAAATGCTAGAATGACTTACATTGTAAAACAGAGGGAGTATTAGTCTATTTTAATTATATTGCATCTCTTGCTCCAAAAATTTTATGTGATCTATGTATTGTTTAATACCGATCTAAAACGTGAAAGCTTCTGTTATTCAGATAACACTGACTCAATGGAGGGGGTGCAGAACTAACAAAATTCAGATTTGTAAGTGTTATCTGAATTCTACGTACAACCATACATACGTAATCATGATATATAAGCAGTTCACATTCAGTAAACTAGGATATATCAGACACTAATCTTGTACAAGTGTCCTAAATTTCTTCAGAATGACCAACTGTTTGTACAATTGTACTGAGTCGTTAATACTGCAGAACCAATATATATCCTAAATAAATACATGTTATAAACAGTATAATCTGACGTACATTACAATCATTTGTTGATGTTTCTGAGATCGATTAGAAAGGCCATCAATTTATATATTTATTGCAGTGACTAGATTGAAATGGCAAGTGGAGGTGATTCCTTTGTGCGCATGATGTCCGAGGACACTGATGTCGAAGTGCTAATGCCAAATGAAGATCTTCATACTTCAAGAAATGGTGCAAAAGGATCAGCCAAAAGATAAAGCAACTATACTCGTAAGGAGGACTTTTAATTGTGCATTTCATGGCAGAGCATTAGCTTAGATCCTATTATTGGCAATGAGCAACCAGGGATGTCATATTGGCAAAGGATCACAGACCACTACCATGCTAACCGTGATTTTGAGTCTGATAGGAATGCAAACTCTCTTGAGCACCGTTAGGGTAACATTCAGAAAGAAATAAGCAAGTTTCAGGGCTGCTACAATCAAATTGAGCGTCGCGGCGGGGCAAAGCGGCCGCGGGCCATGGGAAGAGCAAATGGAGGGAGGACGGAGCGGCCGCGGGCCGTGGGCAGAGCAGATGGAGGGGCGGGCATGTGTCGCGGCGGGGCGGAATGGAGCGGAGGGGCGGGCGAAGTGGAGTGGTGGGCAGGCGAGCGTCACGGCGAGTCGGCGACCCACCCATGGCGCACCGCCATCGCCAGGCTCCCTGCCTCCTCGCTCCCCGCACGCCTCGCCGGCCTCCTCGCCGACGGTGTCCGGGTCCTTCGGGAGGTGGAGCGGCTAGCCGGCAAGAGAGTTGAAGACGACGCAGGCGACTTCCGTGTGGGACTTAAGGCCGGGGGACGGAGAGGTGGGAGACACGTGGGGGCTCAGCAAGGCAGAATGTCACGCACGGCTCCGGTGGCACTCGCTGGTCCAAGCGCACCGAGTTGTCCATCATGGCCCACATGGGCCGCGCAGTGCCACCCCTCCTCAGTCCTCACTCGCGCCTGTAGGGAGGAGAGGGGAGAGAGAGATGAAGAAAGGGGAGTTGGGGAGGGAGGAGGAAGAAGAGGAGGTGGTGAGGATGACATGTGTGGCTTACGTGGGTTTCACCATTTTTAAATTAATTTTTAGTGTAACTGATATATGGACCCACAAATTTTATTATTTTCCAAAATCAAATTGCCACGTACCTACGTAAGCACCACGTCACTGCCACGTCAGATGAAGACCGAGTCAAATTAGCCACTAGGAACCATCGTCTAAACCGCCATGAGACCTATATTGCACCGGTTTTGACAGTTGAGGGACACGTTGTGTCTGGTTTTCCGGTTGAAGGATGAAAATTGAATTCGTTGACAAGTTAAGGGATCTCAGATGAACTTATTCCACAGAAATTAGGCCGGAAATATCTGTGGATATGGGCCTCATAATGGGCTCAGAGCCCACAGTCCAATGGGCCGTGACGGCCCAGCCCGTGTTCTGACTTTCATGCTCGGCTCCTCTACCCAGCCAGCCGCGAGGGCCGATGCTTCACTCCCCAATCCTCACAGCACTAGGGTTGGACCACTTCGCCTCGACTCCTGCTCCGATGCGGCGCCCGAGGCTGCCGACGGCGAGGCCTCCATCTCTCTCTCTCTCTCTCTCGCATCCTCCATTGTGAGTTCCAGCTGTTTCTTGCGGTGTGGCCCCGACGCACGCCGCCTGTTCGACGGAATGCCTCCGGGGAAAGCCCCACGTCCGAGCGCCAGCGGCGGCGGCGGCGGCGGCGTCGATAGGATAGGGATCTGCCGGATGGTGTCGTCCAACACATCCTCGGTTTCCTCCCGGCGCCGGAGGCCGTGCTCACGTGCGTGCTCGCGCGGCGCTGGCGCCACCTCTGGAAGTCGGTGGCGAGACTGCACATCACCAACTGGGACAAGGAGGTGACGATGCAGGAGTTCGGGTACTTCGTGCACCGCCTTCTGCTCCACCGCGGGCGCGGCGCGCCGATCGACGAGTGCAGGTTCAGTTTGGGCGGGCTGTCCGACTTCGCCGCCGACGCCCGCCGCGTGGACCGCTGGTTCCGCCATGCCGCGGTGATGTGCCAGGCCCGTGTGCTGCAGCTGCGACTCGCTCCCAGTGGCGTCCAACTAGCGCTGGATAACCTGGCCATCGTCTCCCGGCATTTGGAGAAGCTACAGCTTACTGGTGTGAAGCTGATGCACAGTTTCCTTGATTTCTCGAGCTGTCCGGTGCTGGAGCATCTTGATATATCCTTCTGTAACCTGGTTGATGCCAAGAAGATCTCTTCCCGATCCTTGAAACACCTCAACATCTTCCGTTGCATTTTCAGCCGTACTTTCCACACTCATATTTGTGCACCGAATCTCCTCTCACTTCGTATGTTTTTTAATAGGGAGTAACTATATTTATGGCGCCATATTTTTCACCAAAATATAGTCAGCATGTATTTACATTGTAAGTCCCTAAATTACATATGTAATTTTAGTGTATTTACAATGTAAGTCCTAAAATTACATATGTAAGTTCAAAATTACATATGTAAGTGGGGTGTAACTACTGTGTAAATTTGTATAAATATATAATTACAGCAATAAAGTTGCCTGTTTGCTCAGTTGAACACGTTAATGATAGGACCTTGGGCAGTAATACATCGATCAGTTGAGCACGTTACTTTGTGTTTGCTCTGGATCAGTAATACATTGATGATAGATTGCAGGTAGTCGGGCGCAGATCTCAAACAACGCATACGCAAATCATAATATCCAGTGCTAATCTAAAGCAAATCAGAGAGCTGAAAAATCGACTATAATCGATGAGATTTTGTGGCGACACAAATATAGCAAAACCGTTTTAGTATGAACCGGAATCCTGTGTTTGAGGGTATGCCGTTATTAACCGAGGCTTTTGTTGGAGTCACTGGTGAATTTGGAGATTGGAATACTCCTCCAAGATATGATGATAGTAACAACTGCACGCTTCCGCAAGCTTTATCACATGCGAAGACGTTGGTGTTGATTGTTCTGTCACGGTCACGAGCATTACAAGCACAGGATGTATGTTATGCATTTATCACTTCCAATGCACTGCCACCACATGTAATATCTTTAACCATCTGTTTACAGTGAGTATTAGTTGATATTTTCTGTTTGCATCTTGTGCAGTTTAATTCCAATAGGTACTGGCAGCAATGCCCTATATTTAGCAGGTTGAAGACTTTGTCAATCTGCGGATATCGACTTTGAGGCACTTAGCTGCATCCTTCAGCACTCACCTATTCTAGAGAAGCTCACTCTCAAGTTTCGTGGCATGGTATATATTCTAAATGGAAAATTGCTTCCTGGTTACAATTATTACATAACGCGGATTTATCTTGGCCAAATGTTTTATTGTTATTTTGTTACTGTTATTATTTCAGGGGACTAAAAATAAGGTGGAAATGAAAGGAAGTTATATCCAAACGAAGAAGTCATCTGCAATATCAGAACATCTTAAGTTAGTGGTAGTAAAATGTGGAGCGATTGAAGAGAGAGTTATCAAAGTTTTGAAGTTCCTATCTACATTTAATATCCGTAAGATAACTATTGACACTATTCATTCTTTCTATATTTCTGGATTTTTCCTTCAACTTCATATATGTGAAAGAAAGCAAATAGTGTAAAAACTCCTACTTTGTCAGAAGATCAAGAGATAAGACTAGAGTACCGAATTGTAAAGAAAATGAAAAATCATGCCCTGCATTTGGTGGAAGCGTGAAACTCAATCTAATGATTTATGTTATGTTGGCAGATAGTATGCATAAAGCTGTATAGTATCTATTTATTGTGAAGTACGTACATTGTATAAGCGGTAAGCTCATAGGTCGAATAGTTTTGAATATCTTACTTGTGCTGATAATTTATTGGCTCGCTGTTTAATTCTAAACAGCAGCAAAATTTTTCTTTCTTTCTGCATTTGATAATTAATGACTGTGAGCAGTAATGCACTGTATTGAACTTATTTTCAAGCGTTGGTTGCTGCGCCATAACATAGGTTTAGGACGCTCGTTCTGCCAGGAAAAGTTGCCTTTGCTGGCTAACTGTCTGCTGGGAAAGACCTTTACTGACTCTCTGCCACAGCCTGCGGCCGGGGAAAGAGAAGTCGAGAAATGTATTTACCGGCAGACATGTGTTTTATGACTGCTACTGGGATTCACATTATCATCTTTGCCATCTCACATTGTAGCCTAGGAATGTGTAATTCGGGGCTACCATATACTACTATAATGGCATGGATACTTTGCAGAAATATGATGTTCTATGAAACATTTTGCCTTAAAGCATAGTGTTATATGAAACAAATTGTTGAACATGGGATTTTTTTTTTTGTGGATTTGTAGTATGTTCCGGTACTTTAAGTTTCTTGTCAAGTAACTGAACAATTTAGTTGCTGCTCAGACTGCGAACTTACCCTTCATTTTCTTTGGCAGGTTTCAGTTTCGAGTAGGGTTTAAGAATTGGGCTGTCCATGGATGTACTACTCATTACTATTCAGAGTGTTGGTGCTTAAGTTGCTGTTACTGTGACAATGGTGCCCTATTCTGACTACAGGTATCACGTCAGTTTTCGTCATAGGGACGGTTTAGAACTGACAAAATGGCCTAGTCAGAATTTGTAATTGCAGGGCCCTAAAAAGGGATTTAGAAGTGCAGGTAATCTGGTTGGACCTAACATACCAACTATGCTATGCTATGTCTTTTGGACTCTTTGGTTAACTCAGATTCATTAACTCAGGGATGATGAATCTGCTAACCTTTAGCAATAGCATATCCAAGGTCTGTAAATATTGCTCCGCCTCAAATGTTTAATGGTATGCACATCTTGTAATGTATTTTGGGCATGTTTGTTGATCTGTGGATGAGAACGTACCTGGAGTTTTCTGCTGATTAAACCATGAAACATTGAATTTCTACAAACTTTTTGAATTTTATTTACGTGTTTGTGGCCTGGCTCAGCTCAGGCCGTGTTCATTTTGGACAAGCCTACTTCCCTGTGATGCTGCAAAATGTTATGTGCATACGGGCCAGACCATAATCTAATGCTATAAGATGATCCATTTTTTTTAGAGGAAAGATCATTATTATATTGATAATATTAGATGATCCATTTGTGAGGCCAAATTCATCCCGGAACATGGTCGGTTCGCCTTAGTTTGGATGGACCAAATCATGCTGGAAAAAGTCCACTGAAACATCCCTTAATCACAAAACCGAATCGGGAATAGAGTGTCCTCAACTATTAAAAATGAGTAAATTGGTGTAAATCAAGTCATAAGGCCTGTTCACTTTTATTGCCACTTTCAAGTTTCAACCCTACCATCATTTGATATTATTACTAAATTTTGGTAAGATAACAAGCTAAAAGTATTCTACCAATGCCATCCTACCATGATTTGATAGTTTTGAAACTTTCCTCTTATAAAAACACTATCAAAATTTTAAAAAGTATATCAAACTAAATACATCCAACGCTAACAAAATTTGACAATATCAAAACATATCAAAATTTGGTATTTCCAAAGTTTGATAAGGTTAAAATTGACAACAAAATGAACAAGCCTATCGTTTGGACGATGATTTTATCGTACAACACTTTCGCACGGCGTGCTGACTAGAGTGGAGCATTACATATTACAGTTAAAAAAAAAAGAGACGGTGGCACCCATACGTCATAGCTCATGGATCAAAATTAGGAATAAGTTCACTTCATGACTCTCAAATGTGATCGAAATCTAATCCATGACCCTAAATTACAATACCGGATATCTCGACCCCCAAACTCCTAAAACCGGTGCAATTTGACTCCCTAGACGGTTTTGGGAGGCGGTTTTGCTAACGTGGTGCCACGTGGTGCCTACGTGGCAGTATTGACCGAGTCTTCGTTACATGTGGAGTTGATGTGGCACCTACGTGACGGTAGAAATAAAAAATATGCGTGGGACCCATTAGTCATTCACACAAAAAGAAATGTAGGCCTACTGACATGTGGGGTCCACATGTTAGACCTTCCTCCTCCCTCTCTCCCTTCTCTCTCTTTCTCTCCCCTTCTTCCCCTTCGGCCGGTGGCGCGCAGGGACAAAGAGAGCGAGCGGCGTCGGCATCCGGCGGCGGCGGCATTGCCATCCCACGGCGGCGGCGTTCGGTAGTGGCGGCAGTGGCAGCCGCGACAGTAGAGCTGTGGCGGTGGCAGCCGCGACAGCAGCACGGCGGATATCCGGTAGCGGCGCCGAGGCTAGGCACGGAGATCCCGCGGCGGCGCGGAGGATGGGCGAGGTGGCGGTGGTGGCAACAGTGGTAGTGTGGAGGAGGCTTGCTAACCCCCCTCTCTCTCGGCGGCCATGGACGGTGAGGAGGAGCACGACGCGGCATGGCGCCGCGTCCACCGACACCGCCTCCCATGACCGCGCCATCTTCCCCAACGTCTCTGCGCTCCTCTGCCTCGACTACTCCTTCGCCACCGTCCGAGGCCAAGCTCCCCGTGCTTGTCTGGCGGCGGGTTTTGACTTGGCTAGATCTGGTGATGGTGGCGGTGGTGGTGGGGGAGGAGGCTCACCGGCCCCTGGCCCCCTCCCGCCACCGCTGCGCGCTCCCGCTCGCCCGCCCGCCGCCGCTGCTGGCCCCCGTCCCACGCTACCGAACGCAGCCGCCGCCGGCTGCCCGCCATTGGCCGCTCTCGCTGTCCCCGCGCGCCACCAGCCAAAGGGGAGAGAAGGGAAGAGAAAGAGAGAGAAGGGAGCGAGGGAGGAGGAAGAAGGACTGACATGTGGGCCCCACATGTCGGCCCACATGTCAGTGGGCCTACATTTTTTTGTGTGAATGACTAATGGGCCCCATGCATATTTTTTATTTCTACCGCTACGTAAGTGTCACGTCAACACCATGTGTAAGAAAAACTCGGTCAATATTGCCACGTAGGCGCCACGTGGCGCCACGTCAGCAAAACAGCCTCCTAAAACCGCCAAGGGAGTTAAATTGCACCGGTTTTAGGAGTTTGGGGGTTGAGATATCCGGTTTTGTAGTTTAGGGTCATGGATTAGATTTCGATCACATTTGAGGGTCATGAAGTGAACTTATTCCTCAAAATTATGGATCATGCCGGATGGGATTGGGCCGACATTCTCAAAGGTTGGGCCCCTTGCATGGGCCAAATGTGGGACTTGACAGCCCAAAGAGAGGTAATGGGTCGGAAATCTGGCCCATCCCGTTTATCCTTTCTTGACTTCGTGTCTCCGCCTTTTCTTCCGTCCAGCCGAGGCGGCGAGGACTCAATGCCTCACTCATAGGTCATAGCTGGATTTACCTTCTGCCTCAGCTCCGGCGAGGGAGGCTGCCGGCGGCGAGGCATTTGTACCGTCTCTCATCCTCACCCGCTCTCTCCCCCCGTTGCATCGTCCCTTGCGTTGTGGACGTTTCTTGCTCTGCGAACGCGACGCCCGCCACCTGTTCGACGGAATGCGTCCAGGGGAGACGGGGAAAAGGGTTAAGGGATCCCCATCTCGAAGCGGCGGCGCCGACGAGGATCGGATTGGATGCCTTCCGGATGGGGTCCTCCACCACATCCTCGGGTTCCTGCCGGCGCCGGACGCCGTGCGGACGTGCCTGCTCGCACGGCGCTGGCGCCACCTCTGGAAGTCCGCCACGGGCCTGCGCATCTCCGAAGGCTACGGTGTGGAAAAGCTCCATGATTTCGTGCACCACCTGCTGCTCCTCCGCGGGGGCGCGCCCCTCGACACGTTTGAGCTAGGTTCCATCGATTTGGCCGAGGGAGACAACCGCAGCATGAACCTCTGGTTCCGGCATGCCCTGCTGTGCCAAGTCCGGGTGCTCCGGCTGAATGTCTTCGGCCTCGAGCTACACGACCTGCCTTTCGTCTCCCGGCACTTGGTGAAGCTAGAGCTTCGTTTTGTGATATTGATGCACAGTTTCCTTGATTTCTCTAGCTGTCCGGTGCTAGAAAATTTAGAGATTGTCTCCTCCGAGTTGTCAGATGCCAAGAGGATCTCTTCCCAGTCCCTGAAACACCTCAACCTTACTCATTGCACTTTCAGCGAAAATGTCCGAATTCGTATTGATGTGCCGAATCTACTTTCCCTGTGGCTACAAGATTATCGCTGCCGGACTCCTGTGTTTGAGGTTATGCCGCTATTAGTGAAAGCATTTGTCAGTGTAACCGGTGACTCTGGGGATTGGTTAACTTGTACAAGTGGTAATGCTGACTCCGAGGAATGCCCTCATGACGATTGTGAGCTTTGTTATAGTAACACCAACAGAATGCTTCTGCAAGCTTTATCACAGGCTAGGAGTTTGATGTTGGTAGCTCAGAATCAAGAGGTATCGCTATGCTTACACTTCTATCTTTCCTATGCAGAATCTATGTGTACCCACCACTGGATATTCGTAATTAACAATTGCAATAACCTTTTTTGCATGCAAGGCCACCACAAGGGAGTTCTTAAATCATTGTTAACATCGAGTTTTTATGGATCTCTTCTGTGTCTATTTTGTCCAGTTTGTTTTCAAAAGAGACATGATGCGGTGCCCTACATTTAGTAACTTGAAGACTTTGTTACTCATTGACTCCTTCTACGTGGCCTTCGACTTGCATGGAATAACTTGCATCCTTCGACACTCACCAGTTCTAGAGAAACTCACTCTTGAGCTTTTTTGTCAGGTACATATATTCTAAATAGAAAACCGCTACATATTTACATTTATTACATTACATTGATTGATCTTGGCCAACTGTTTTATTGTTATTTTTTGTCACTGTTATTGTTTGCAGGAATCTGAACATATATTGGAAATGAAAGGAAGCTATAATCAAACGGAGAGGTCATCTGCAATACCAGAGCATCTTAAGTCAGTCGTAGTCAAATGTGGAGTGATTGATGAGAGAGTTACCAAAGTTTTGAAGTTCCTGTCTACATTTAATATTCGTAAGATAACTAGCAACACTGTTCATTGTTTCTATATTTCTAAAATTTTCCTCCAGGTTCATATTTATGAAAGAAAGCAAATAATGTAGAAACTCCTACTTTGTTAGAAAATCAAGAGATAGCTGTACGAAATTGAAAAGAAAATGAAAAATCCTGCACTGCATTTGGTGGGAACGTGGAGCTCAATCTAATCTGTTGTGTTGGCAGATTGTATGCATAAAGCTATGTACGGTCATTTTATTGTCAAGTACAACGCATAAACAGTAGGGTGATGTGTTGAATAGTTTTCAATATTTGACTTGTGCTGATAATTTATTGGCTTGCTGATTACTAGTTCCGAAGCAGCACGATTGTATTTTTTTTTATAACTTAACAATCAGTAATTGTAAGCAATAACACATTTTATTTTCCACCTTCGTTTTCTTTTATAATACTGTGAAAATACTTTCTTACATGGGCCTTGTTTTCATCAGTTTATAAACCTGTAGTCTCACATGCTCAATAATTTGAGTTATTTTTCTTCTTTGTACTGGTTGCACATTTATGAAGAAAACCATTCTTGCCATGTCCATGTCCAGCTATTTCCTTTATCCGATTGATGGCTTCAATAGTTCCTTGTGAATGAAACGCCTTCGACTGATTTATGTTTTGATTGTAGCTCGGATGTTATGACTTGTGAGAAAACATGGTTGGTCTGTGTTTGTGAGGGGGTAATTTAGGCTGATGAACTTTTTTGTTGAGAGCAGGTGGAAAATGGGAAATGGTTCATGATCATTAATCATATTTTTGTGTCATCTTTATGTTACTACTTACTACTAGAACGTATTACTGTTATTAATTGAGCTGCATGCTGATCAAGTGAATTTCACCTTTCTTTTAGTACATTTCACAAAATCTTGGTTTTGGAGGTTCATAAAACCCCCTAGGTTTCACTATTTATTTCAAGGAAACCCAGGTTTTCGGAGCAACACTTTTCATAAAACCTTAGTTACATGTCTATCATCGATTTGTGTATGGCCCATTATTTTTGTGTATAATGCTTATACAAAGATCGTATGTGGGTTTACATAGACAATTAGCTACCTTCTCCTCAACCGTTGATTGCTGATAGCATGACCATTTGTGGGTTTACTTAACTAGTTAACGTATCTTTACTGCTGGGGTTCACATTATCACATTATCATCTTTTTTTTCTGCCATCGTGCAGTGGGAGAGATAGCGTAGCCTAGGAATGTGTTTTAGGCCTACTCTGTGAGTATATACTTGAAATACTATATAATTATATATTTTAGTGGCATAATTGTTTTGCATATAGATGCTTGTTTATGAAACATTTTTCCTTAAGTAGGGTTATATGAAACAAATTGCTAACCATGTTTTTATTAAAAAAAAACTATTTTTGTAGTCTGTTACCTTATTATGAGTTTCTTGGAATTGCACATTTTAATTGCTCAGTTGATGCTCTGACTATGAACTGACTGCATTTTCTCTTGCAGGTTTCAGTTTCGAGTAGGGTTCAAAAATTGGGCTGTACATGAATCTACTAGTCTATTTACTGTTCAGTGCTGTGACAACTGAGATGGTTGCTGTATTATGGGATGGAGTTAGTATATCCTATGTCAGTTCTTAGCCACACGAACGGTTTAGAACTGACAATGACCTAGTAAGAATCTGTAGTAGACGGAATTAAGAAGGGCAGGTAATCTAGTTGGAACTATGCTAGTTAATTCGGATCCATTCTCTCGGGGATGATGAATCTGCTATCTTGCTTTAATCAACATTTCTCCGCCAGTAATGTTTAATAGTACACACATCTGGTAATGTATTTGACTATTTGGGCGTGTGTTCATGGGTGGAGAAACCATTTTTCGTAGGTCGATCAAATTTCACATTAAAAACCGGGACTAAAAATGCCGGTTAAAAAAATTTTGATCTTAAAGGATCATCTTTAGTCCCGGTTCATCCTCTGTCAGAGGCATGTCAGGGGGCCGAGGATCTTTAGTTCAGGTTGATACTACCAACTGGGATAAAGATTATCATTTACTCCCGGTTAAATGATCATTTAGATCTTTAGTATCGGTTGGTGTTATTAACCGGGAGTAAATATTTCTCCCCCACATCTGATCGGTTAAGTCATTAACCGGAGTAAATATTTCTCCCCCACATCTGATCGGTTAAGTCCCAGACATATATTTAGATAAGATTAGATCATCCCCTCTCTTCATAGTTCACAATCTGTTCCGGTATTTAAATTTACTGTCAAGCAACTGAACATTGTAATATCTGCAGATGATGCTTACTGCCTCAGATTGTGAACTTACCCTACATTTTCTTTGACAGGTTTCAGTTTCGAGTAGCGTTTTAAAGTTGGGCTCTCCAGGATCTACTGCTACTCAGAGCGTTGGTGCTTAATCTGCTGTGACAAGCATGCCCTATTCTTGCAGTCTCAGCCTCATAGGGGCGGTTTAGAACTGACGAAATGATCTAGACAGAATTTGTAACTGTAGTGCCCAAATAATGGATTTAGAAGTGCAGGTAATCTAGTTGGACCTAATATACCAACCATATGCTTTGATCTCTTTTGGCCCCTTGGTTAACTCGGATTCATTCTCTCTGGGATGATGATCTGTTAGTTCTGTAAATATTGCTCCATCTGGTAATGTATTTTGGGCAAGTTTGTCGATCCATAGAGCTCATGTCGTTTTGATTTGTGATAGATGTTTCTTTTGGTTATGGATGAGAATCTACCTATAGTTTTATGCAGATCAAACCATGAAACATTGAATTTCTATACCAACCTTTTGAAATTTATTACTCCCTTCGTTGCATATTATAATTTTTTTTGACTTTTTTAAACCAAACTACTTAAAAGTCTGACCAAATTTATAAAAAAATATAATAACATTTATATGTTTCATTACATCTAATATTGAACATGTTATATATTTTGGTAGTTTCTTTGTTTTGTGTTGAAAATATTACAATATTTTTTTATTAATTTGATCAAACCTAAAAAAATTGACTTAGGAAAAAATTAAAATGACCTATGGTATGAAACGAAGGTTCCAGTGCTCTTCGTTGCCCCATTTGTGAGGCTCAATTCCTCTCAGAGTTATTGGTCAATTAGACCTAGTTTGGATGGACCAAATTTTGGCCCATCAAAGTGTAATAGGCCACCAAAGTGAACTAAAATTTTGGCACATGCAAATTGATGGATGTGCTTTCTGTCATACCCGAGGAATTAATCTCGGGCTATGTATATATTGTATATTTATTAATAAACTTTCTAAAAAAATTAAATGTAAGTATGATATAATCATAGAATAATTACATTGGGCCTTATATCCACTCGGGATCAAATCCTAAGTTTAACACGGGTGCTCTTATTTACGGCTAATTATTTTTTCAGTAGTAGGTGACGTATCCATCGACAGTAAAATATGCCGGCCCAGTCTTTTCAGATGTGCTCATAGGGGTACGATGTGCGTATGTGTTTATAAGAGTGAGTGTGCATGCGTTGTGGACACCACATTTGTACTGTGTTTTAAAAAAAAGAATCCATAATACTACTTTTGTTTCCAAATGAATGATATTGATTAGTGCAATTTTGAACTAACCGGTGTCAAACGAAAAGAAACGTAGAGATATAACTTATATGTTTATAGAATATAAGTTGTATGGAACTTTTAAAAAAATCCTGCGGTAACATGCTATTTTATGAAGTGGAGGTCGTGGGATTAAATCTCCTCACCCCTTACGTGCATTGGGATTTTTTTTCCCTTTGTCACTCGCACGAATTTTAAAGCAAATCTAACTATTCATAATAATCATATGAAAGTTACATACCAATTACATGCAAGTTACAATGTAATTTATAATATATTTACATTCTACAATTTTTTGAGAGAAAATTAATCTACAAATGTATAGCACAATGTATTAATTTTGAGCTGGATGAGATTAGGCCTGTTTACCCATAAGGTTGGGCCTTCCACATAGGCCTAAAGTTGTACTGTACTGCTCGAAGTTGGACTTTTCAATGTGCCCTGTTAAATGGGCCTTTCTGGTCCAGCCCATTTATTCTTTATTTCCTGGCCTTTTCTTCCTCATTCGGACACTCTCCGACTCGAGGGCTGGAGTACACTACCATCTTCCTCAGCTCCGGCGGGCGAGGCTGCCGGCGGCGAGGTCTCCGTCTGTCTCTGCCTCTGATTCTCACTCGCTTTGCTCCAGCTTCATCCGCCCGTGCAGTCCAGTGGTTGTTTCTTGCCCTGCGGCCGCGACGCCCGCCACCTGTTCGACGGAATGTCTCCTCCAGGGGAGGCGGGGAGGAGGGGCAAGGGAGCCGCGCGCCCGAGCGACGATCGGATAGGGCACCTGCCGGACGAAGTACTGCATGACATCATCGGGCTCCTGCCGGCGCCGGACGCCGTGCGGACGTGCGTGCTGGCGCGGCGGTGGCGCCACCTCTGGAAGTCCGCCACGGGCCTGCGCATCGCCGACGACGACGGGGTGGGGCTGGTGCCCATGGAGGAGCTCCGCGATTTCGTGGACCATCTGCTGCTCCTCCGCGGGCGCGCGCCGCTGGACACCTGCGAGCTCAGCTTCGCCGGGCTGTCGTCCGACGGCGGCGGCGGCGACGCCCGCCTCGTGGATCTCTGGTTCCGGCATGCCGTGCTGTGCGAGGTCCAAGCTCTCCGGTTGAATGCCCCTCGAAGTGCCTCACGCCTCGTGCTAGATGGCCTGCCTCTTGTGTCCGGGCGCTTGGCGAAGCTAGAGCTTGCTCATCTGAATTTGGTGCACAATTTCCTCGATTTCTCGAGCTGTCCGGTGCTGGAACATCTGGAGATTGTCCTCTGCAGCTTGTCAGATGCCGAGAGGATCTCTTCCCAATCCCTGAAACGCCTCAACATCACTGCATGCGATTTCAGCGAAATCTTCCGCACTCGTATTGATGTCCCCAATCTCCTTTCGCTGCGCCTGGATAATTATATAATCACCGGACTCCTGTGTTCGAGGGCATGCCGTTATTAGTGGATGCCTTTTTCGGTGTCACCTTTGCTTCTGGAGATATCAGGTGTTGTCCAGGAGTTAATGATGACCTTGAGGAATGTCCTTATGACGATTGTGACAATTGTCCCAGTGACAACAATTGCAAGGTTCTGCAAGCTTTTTCACAGGCTAAGAATTTGGCGTTGGTCGCTGACTCACAAAAGGTTTGTTTTTGTTATGCCTTTTTTTCACATGAACTGCCTTTTACAGAACCAGCTTTTCCTTCTCAAATCATCTGTTAGTTGATCTTTATTGTTTGCATTTTGTCCAGTTTATTTTCAAAAGGGAATTGATACGGTGCCCTACATTTAGCAAGTTGAAGACTTTGTTGCTCAGTGACAGCTGGATTGTGGCCTTCGACTTGCATGAAATTACTTGCATCCTTCGACACTCCCAGTTCTAGAGAATCTCACTCTTCAGTTTTTCTACCCGGTACATATGTATTTATATTCTAAATTGGAAACTTCTGCCTATAGTCGAATGGAGAGATCGTCTGCAATATCAGAACACCTTAAGATAGTCGTAGTCAAATGTGGAGTGGTTGATGAGAGAGTTATCAAAATTTTGAAGTTCCTATCTACATTTAATATCGGTAAGCTAACTAGCAACATTATTCGCTCTTTCTGTATTTCTGAAATTTGCCTTCCACTTGATTGCAAATAATGCAGAAACTCCTACTTTGTTAGAAATCTAGAGGTAGGAGTACCAATCACCAGATTAATTGAAAAGAAAATGGAAATGCTGCATGACATTTCGTGGGAGTCGGAAACCCAATCTAAACATTTCTGTTGAATAGTTTTGAATATTAAACTTTTTGATAATTTATTGCCTCACTGATTAGTTCTGAACAGTAGCAAGCTTTCTCTGTCTTTATGCTTTTACTTAACAAGTAGGAGTAATAGTTTTAAGCAACAACACATTGAACTGTTGTTTACTTCACTCTTACAAATGGCTCACTATATATGCTCAGTTTCATGCCCTTGTGAATGGCTAAACTGAGCAATACTTTGAATCTGTAGAATTAACTGTTTTCTTGAATATTTTCATTGTTCCTTTGAGTCTGTAGGTTGTACATAACTTTCAGTGCCTTTCAGTGCCCATCTTCATGTCTAGTTATTTTTGCTGCATTTGCCCTAATGATGACTTCTATAGTTCCTTGTGGATGAAAAACCTTGACTGATTTCTTCTTTTGTAATTGTATAAAATCTGATGTTATGGGGAAAAATAGTTGGTCTGTGTTCTTAGTGTAGGGGCAGTATAGGCTGATAAATTCTTTTTAAGGGCAGGTGGAAGCTGTTAAATATCATTAATCATATTTTTGGATCATCTTAATGTTAGTTGAAGATATTACTGCATGCTGGTCGAGTGAATACCACTTTTCCTTTAATAAATTTCACATAACGCAGGTTTGAGGGGCGTCGGTAATGCTGTAATGCAAAACCCAGATCTGCATTTTGTTTCAAGGAAACCTATAGGTTTTAGAGCAAAATGTTTCATAATACCTCAGGCACATGCATATGTAACCCATTTATCTATGATATTTATGTGCAATACTTATACAAAATGGAATTCTTTTTGGTACATAAACACATCAGCTACCTTTTCCACAACCGTTGGTTGCCGGTAGCATAAATGTTTGTTAATGTGTCTCTGCTACTGGGGTTCACATTATCATCTCTGCCATTGCACAGTGAGAGAGTGCGGAAGGAGATATAGTAGCTTAAGAATGTGTATTTCAGGCCTACTAATGTAGGTATATACTCGAAATGCTAGATAGTATAAATGTATAATGACATGAGTATTTTGCATACATGTGAGGCTTGATGAAGCATTTTGCCTTAAACATAACGTTATATGAAACAAATTGCTGAACACGAGGTTTCTGAAGTTAGCTCCTTTTCGTTCTTTCAATATTTCTGAATTTTGAAAAAAAATATTCGTGAATGAAAGAAGAAAACTAAAAGTGCAAATACAGATTTAGTGAAGAAAAGGGAAAATAGGTAAAACAGCATTTGGAAGGGATATAAAGAAAACATAATCCAATTTATTTTGTTGTCAAGTATGATACTTGAAAATTTACAGAGTTTTTCCATGTTGAACTGAGTAATATAATTTTCTTTTTATATAATGAGCTGAGTAATATAAATAGGAAGTTGCAATATGTTTTGACCTCTACACTTTGGACTGTTTACTCGTTGAATAGCTTTCATTTCCTGCTATTAAGTATTAACTCAGGCTTGAAGTTCTTGGCCATAAAATAGCTCTTAATTATTGTACATATTATGTGACATTGTATCATTTGTATGGCCACGTATTTACCTTCATCTTTGAAAAATGATAAACTGTGTCTTATCTTCAAAATATCATTGGGTATGCGCAGTCTTCAGTTTCAAGGAAGGAAGTATGGGTTGATGCCTGGTCGAAAAACAAAGTAGAAAAGGGTTGATGTCTCGACGATGGATCTTCTAGATGAAGAACCTCTTGATTATTCCAGGAACGCAAGGCTTAATTTCACAGTGACAAGAACCCTGTCTTTTGTCTATGAGATTGCTATGCTAGCTCCACTATGTTGAACTGAGTAATATGCTAGTAGTTCACAGGACGAGGAACATCTGGGATCCGGATACATAATCAT